AACCAACTTTAAATCTAAGGTCATTGCACATAATTTTTTTTGCTAATTTGTGTTATTTATGTTATAAATAACATGTAAAATTTGTATAGCCCATTACTTGTCGACCCGTTTTTAAAAAAACTCATTTAAAATAAAAATTATTCGTTTTCTTTTAAAATTGTCATACACCGCTCATATTGGACTACTGATTTAGGTATACATACATATAATTTGTTTGAAAAACTCGCTACATTTAAAAACGACTTGAATTTTATTATTGAAAAGAACATCCATTATTTCTATATTGGTTATAAAGTAGATTTTTATATATTTATGCAACTAACGTATGCGGAATGAAATTGCGGACAATTTGTAAGCAGAAAATTCTGGTAAACTCAGGAGCCAAACTGAGTATACCAAAATCTACTGCGCAATCTAAACAAGCATTACACTAAAAATTACCTCGTTGTATATTATAATGCTGAAATAATTTCCTAGAAAGCGAAAGAACTCTGAAAAATTCCTTGTAAATTTTGTATACCGAAACTCCATGTCACGAAAAGTAACGTGCTTTTTAATATTTTCTCTATGAGACTTAAAACAAAATGTTATTTACAAAGGAAGTGTCGGAATAGGAAAACACTAGAAGGAAAACCCACGAGTGCGAAAAAAATGTTTCACATAGCAGCGAAATGAGATCGTAATAAGAATCATAAATTGCTTGATCTCTCTGCAAAATCACAGCGTATAATGGCAACAATGTGCAAAGCAAGCAAAAACACATTAGATACTATGCAGGGATATAGTGAAATATGTGCAAACCACTCTACCCAAGATTTTTTAAACGTTGAAAAGGAAAATTAAAAGCGGATATTAGCGATTTCCCGAAATTCTGCTTGCACCACATTCATTTTAGTTTTCTACCACGGATTAGAGAAATATTTTTCATTGGGGACCCATAAAAGGACACCTAAATATAGCTCTGAACTAATTATCGTCTAAATGGCTGAAAAATTATAACACAAGTTGGCACAATAAAGTCCTAAAATAATATATTTGAAAAAGCCCTATGCCTGAAAGCTTAAACAGGCCAATCGTTAAGGAGATGCTTCTTTTCTATAAAAACGTTTCGTAGAAATTTCGACAATAAATATTTGAGTTGGAAAACAGTATTTGTTGCATCCGAAAGTATAGCTGTTTCTTTTTACTGCATCAGTTCGAATTTCATTCCGCATACGTTAATACGACAGCAGCATTGTTTTTTACATAAAACCCTGTAAATTTTTTAAACAGTACCTTATACGTGTTGAGAATTGTATTCATGTACTGTTTCAGTAAATTAAATGGATATTCCGGATGATGGACGAGTACTTTATATTTGTCCCAAGTTGTTTTAAAGTCAGAATATAGTGGCCACGTACTTTTTCGCAAATTCAGGAGCATGTACTTTCGGTAGATCTCAGGCAAAAAAAATGTGTGACCTTTCACCTTGAATAATTTTTTTAACAGACCTGCGATCGATAAGGACTTTCGACATTTCATTTATAGTGGTGTTCGTAACATTCGTTACAATTTTGAGCTTTATGCGAATTATTTCAACCTTGAAAATCTTACTTGACCGGGCTAATAGAAAACAATTTTAAAGATATGGTTTCAATAGAGTAGCGATTAAAAAATATTAGTTACACGGGTTATAATATACTTCCGTTAGGTTTTTTTGGACTGTGAGGATAGGGTTTAAAATGCCTTTGCGCCATATAGAAACCGTCGCTCCTACGTGAGTGGTGTAGCCACTAAAACAATCGCTCCTCCTACCCTGGAAACTTCTCTTCCCTGGGACCGCTTTCGCATTAATTCAAGGTAGAGAATCCAGGATGGACCCTAATTGGTCAGCATCAACTCTCCCTGCGTCCAGGGCCGCCATGTTTGAAGCCAGCATCTAGCTATTGGCTGGTCTTCTCTTCGTAAAGGGCTCAGCCCCAGGGCCGTAGCCAGAATTTTTTCGGGGAGGGGGTTCTGGCAAAATATTTTTTTTTTTCACTTTATATCAACATATTTTGAATTAAAGAAAAAATTAAATAAAATATTTCTCACAAACAACAAAAAATTTAATCGATAATTGCATGAGGCTATTGCCTGAAAATTTTAAAATGTACTTAGCGGCATTGACATAGACGGCCGAGTAATCGTAGCCAACTTATGTACAGTAGACTGCTTCACTGCCCATACAAAAAAAAACCGGCGCTGGAATTATAAAATCTATGTATTATATTTTAAGACTTCCACCAAAATATCTCGCAAAAATATTAAGATTTACGATCTGAAAATACCTCCAAAAATTTAGTTCTTTTATTAATAAACAGTTTTTTTTTTAAATATTTTTTGAAAAAATGCCACAGATGACTGAGTAGTTTAAGCTTAAAAAGTTTTCATAAAAATAAAAAAAAAAATGTCTACGGAATCATAATAATGAGATTTTTGATGCTGTTTTTACACTTTTCAAAGACTGGTTTAAGAAAAACTTAAATAACTCAGCCAAAACCTTACCATTTGGACTTATGAGGTATCATTTGCTCACCCTTTTAATTTCTTTGCGAATAAGCTCATTCAAAATATGAAAAAGGGAGGTAAGATAAACGAGTGTCATTCCATGTTGAATTAGGATGTGTTGGTATTGAATAAAAAAAAATTGGGACGTGAATGAGTTTTTTTTGAAAGAAACAAAAAGGGTGAGAAAATGATACCTGTGATACCTTATAAGTCTGTACCGGTAAAGTTTTGAAGCAGGTTTTCAAGTTTTTCTTAAGCAAATCTTTGAAAAAAGTTAAAAAACAGCATCAAAAATCTGATTGTCTGATCTGATCTGTTGATAAAATTGTTTAATATTTTTATGTACACTGCCGGAACAAAGTACTGGCACAGCAATTTTTTCATAATATATGCAACAATTTTTATTCTAATATTTTCCCGCCAATTTTGTATAAAAATATGGTTCATTCAACAACAAAAAACATAAAAATATAATTCCTAAACTTTGGGCAAAACTCGCGAAAATTCAGCAAATGTTCTTCAAAATTTTCAACTTTTTAATCAGATGAGTATGCAGTTTTGCAGCCCATTAAATTCTAGCAAACAAAATGCAAGTTCGGAGTTAGTCAAAAATCGCATTGATTTTTGAGAATTTTTTTTTGTTGAAGGTGTTTTGCATTTTGACCATATAAAGTATTTTCGAAAAAAAATTTTTGTATGAAAGGGACTACGTGAAAAAAAATTACCAAAAATTAACGGTAATTCCTAGCTACTTAAAACTTGCACATTATTATAATAAAGCTGATTGGGCTACTAACATAACAAACGCTTTTATTTCCCATTTAGCATGCAGATGTGCTCGAAATGTTGGCGAAAAAATTATTAAAAATCAACCCGAACTCTTAGCGACTTGCAACTTGCACTTTATTATACTAAAATTTAGTAATATATAAAACTGCATACCCAAAATTTTTATAAAAACTAAAAACAAAAAAAATACTTTTGTAACATTTTTTTTATAACATTTCAAAATATTACTTTTTAATTTATTTTTTGTTTTAGGAGAACCCTACAATTGTTTTTAACTAGTTTTTATTATGAAACTTTTATTAGCTGGAACAGGAGAATGGGTCTTCTTCAAAATTGGCGCAATTTCTGCACTTTGCACTAAAAAATTTAATACAAACAAATAAAAATTCGAAAATTGGGCTCAACTAGTCTCTTGCAAATTTGATTAGCTTTCATTTAAAAAAAATAACACTGTGAGACACATGATAGGGGTCAGTGATCGGGAAGGGTTCAAACTACCGGGGAAAGTTATATCGGTAAAAAAGAAGTTATACGTGTTCCGGCGTTTCGCTGGGTCACGTCTAGGAATCGAGATATATCGATTTGAAGTTAGTAACTATCATATAGAGGAAATTGTCACCTTTGGTGGTCTTTTTTTTGACATAACTCGAGAACCA